CGCCAGTATATTATATATAATAGTTAGCTTACCTATATTTCCCAGTGAGGTTATTTATTTTTGACCGCACTTCCTCACTGCTGACACACACTCCAGCGTTTTTAAGGGATTCTGCCATCTGTTTAAAGATGTGGCCGTTCTTCCTGGCCCCACGCAGGTCCACTATATTTGCTTCCCATAATTCCAGCAGCATCTCCTCCGCAAACGGCGACCAATTAGTTTTTTTCTTTTTTGCACTCTCCATTTACTAAACATGTTTGTAAGAACATATTTTTTATTTATTATATAAAATATTTCAAATGAAAATACTAACCGTTTACTTTTGATTGTTCCAGATTTTTTATTAATTGTGTAGACATTCGATTGACAAGTGTCAAAAATAAGCAAAAGCCTTGCCAGGGCTACTATTTTTTGATGCGTTCGAGAAAATATGTCATGTTGGAACGCATTTCGTTCATGATTTTGCTTAAATGCGTTGTAATGCGTCATTTTGGAAATGTGAATTTGTATGAGGAAATGCGTGATTTAGCTTCGCATTTCAGATTTCTCGCCCAAATGACGCATTTGGGTTAATGTAAATGTATAATTTTTATACCTCCCAATTCTGTGTTTTCTTGATAAATTATTTGTAAAGAAATTTTATCCAGATTTTTATCAAATAAAAGCTCCCATCGCATTCTGTGTCAATATTTATAAAATTAAAAACTCTACGATTTCCACATGAGGGGACCTGGTTTCCACATGAGTGGAACTGATGGTAGAGATGTCGACTATAATAACACTGTGAGACAAATGGTAGGGGTCAGTGGTCGGGAAGGGTTCAAACTACCGGGGAAAGTTATATCGGTAAAAAAGAAGTTAGGAATCGAGATATATATATAACTATCATATAGGGGAAATTGTCACCTTTGGTGGTCTTTTTTAGACATAACTCGAGAACCACTAGTCCGATTTTGCTCAAACAAATTTAAAAAAATTAAAAATTACAATTCCTTTAATCTGTTCATATAACGTTTTTCTATATAATCAACAGTTTTAAAAAAATTTAATATTTTAGGCAAAAAATTTTTTTTTTCTTCATACATTTATTTTTTGCTGCTGGTTTTCGGAGGAGATGGTGCTTTTTAAACTTGTAATATCTCTCAAGAAAAGCGAAAAATTCATATACATAAAATGACGCACAAGAAATTTCTTAAATCCTTTATCAAAATTTCTTAAATCAGTTTACAGCTCTCAAGAAAAATGCTCTAATATTTATTTCTTCAAGAAAATTTACAGCGAAAGGAAAGTTCTTTTTCAAGCAACAGAAATTATAAAAAATATTTCTTGTAATTTTTCTTGAGAACTGAATTCTTAGCTTTAAGATAAAGTTCGTATTTGAGGTAATTAGCTTTAGGAGGGGTTTGAACCCCAAAACCCACCCCTTGTGTGCGCTAATAGATATAACGATTTGAAAAACTGCGTGATTGGTCAGAATTACGAAAAAATCCAAAGTTGGACAGATCATATCTGCGAAGAAAAAAAAGAAAAAAAAAATTCCTCGAATACGTATTAGCTTATTTCATGTGTAGAACTCATAAAAAAATTTGAAGCACATAGAAAGTGTGACACCAAATTTGATGTCCGATACGAAAAAGAATGCCTCATATATATGTATTTCATTACTGCAGCGCACAACCAAGAAACTTCAAAATAAAAGTTACGAGCAACGAAAAAAAATTTTCATTGAGAATAACTCTTACTAAGCAACGTGAAGAAACAAAAGTCGAAAATATAAGTTACGAGCAACGAAAAAAAAATTTCATTTATCATGCAACGTAGAAAGAAAAAAGTCGAAAATAAAAATTATGGGCAACGGAAAAAAATTTTGTCTTAGGAATAACTCTTACCAGGCAACGTCAAAACAAAAACGTCGAAAATAAAAGTTATGAGCAACGGAAAACAGTTTTTCTTGAGAATAACTCTCTCTGAGGGACGTAAAAACAAAAAAGTCGAAAATAAAAGTTATGACCAACGAAAAATGGCCCATACAAAGATAATGAAAATATTTTAGTTTTGGGAATAACTCTTATAAAGTAACATAAGATTTTTTTTACTGTAACGTTTTCCACCTCTAAAAGAAATCATAAAAGTTATTTAGGGTCTCTGCATTTTCCTCAAATGGCTTGTCAACCCTTCAAACACCATACACAACATAAATAGCTTTAAGGGAAGGGATATTTCGCTTGGTTTGTCAAACCGCTTGTGTGGTGTTTTTCGCTGTTAAGCACATCTGCATTTGCTGCTAAATATTCAAAAGGTTATCGATAATTTTTTTCTTTTAATCGTTATATTTTCCACTTATTTTAAAATTGCAAAATGTCGGTAACGAATTGAGAGAACACCCATTGTTCGATCATAAGGATATTCATATCGATTTCTCATTAGATAAAGAAAATTATAGGAAAAGTTTTTGAATTAAAAGATTCTTCGGCTGCATATATATGACAATTTATTATTTATATAAATTATTTATTTAAATTTCTTCCGGTTCACAATGTAAAAGGGTTTGGTTTTCTTCGATTTTTCTCTCTTGCATCCTCATTCGGTAAAAATTCCGTTGCTAATGAGGCGATTTTATCACACACAACGTAAGCGGTTTGATCAAACGTCAACATGGCGGCAAGAAAATCAAAAAATTTTGATTTTTGTTCACATTTCCCTCAAATGGTTTGTCACACCTTTAAACCCCCCCATACACAACATAAATAGCTTTAAGGAAAGGCATATTTCGCTTGGTTTGTCAAGCCGCTTGTGTGGTGTTTCTTCACTCTTAAGCAAATCTGCATTTGCTGCTAAATATTCAAAATGTTATCGATAACTTTTTTCATTCCNAGAAAATCAAAAAATTTTGATTTTTGTTCACATTTCCCTCAAATGGTTTGTCACACCTTTAAACACCCCCATACACAACATAAATAGCTTTAAGGAAAGGCATATTTCGCTTGGTTTGTCAAGCCGCTTGTGTGGTGTTTCTTCACTCTTAAGCAAATCTGCATTTGCTGCTAAATATTCAAAATGTTATCGATAACTTTTTTCATTCCATCGTTATGGGCTGTTTTTGCTTACGCGTAAATGAACATTTAGCGCATTTAGCTGTAAATGCTACTCTAAATGTACATTTATCCATACAAAATTCGTCATCTAAATGCAACTAAATGCAACTCAATCTTTGCATTTAGAATCTAAATGCTAAAAGCATCCCTGTGATCTTCCAAAATTTCCACGATTCGAACATGGTTTAATGAGAAAAAGTGGCAACATTGCTTTTTCGAGTATACAACCGCTAGCTGCGTTTCAGTGATCGCCGATCGAGATTTCATTTATTATTTTACATTATTTGGATAAAGAAAAGTTACGCAAATTCAACATCGATATGATGCTGATAGAAATCTGGATTAATTTGTGATCAACTCTGTTTGTTTTGTTTCCTAATTAGGTGTGGAAAATATAATTGGCAGCACCGACAAATGAATATATACACAAACAAATGTTCGGTTATGGTTAAAACAATTCAGGTTTTTGTATTGAATTTTCGGTTTAGAATTTATTTTTCCTTTTCAGTAGGGGTTTTTGCACATTATCTTTTCCGTGAGAATTTATCGTAATGGATACGGATCTGAATAAGCGACTGGAACACGGCTGTTTGTCAAAAGCATACGATTTCGAACTCGCGTAAATGTACATTTGCTAAATGCGATAGCATGAACGCTCTTCGAAAACATATGTTCGAAAGTGCTAAATGTTGCATTTTAAATGCAGCAAAAACGCTGCATTATATTTTCAGCTTATTTTAAACTTGCAAAATGTCGGTAATGAATGGAGAGAACACGCATTGTTCGATCATAAGGATATTCATATTGATTCTTCATTAGATCTAGAAAATTATAGGGAAATAGATTTTGAATTAAAAGATTCTTCAGGTTCATACAAGTTTTCCAATTAAAAAAAAGTATATCTGCATTGCTAATAGTAGAACGTATATTTAGTAGCTTAAAAATGTGTAGTAGCAACAACAACAACAACAAACCCAGGCATAAAAATAACGGTGATACTTTGTTTGGACCGCAAGAACAAATATACTAATTTTGAGGAATTTGGTAATTTTTGTGGCAACACTGCTTTAAACTATCACCCGCTACCATTTCATTTCTCCTTTTGTTCCCATTTCATAATGTCATATTTTATGGTCATATCAAGGCGTGTGACGGAAATATGTGGTTTTTCTAATAAAAATGAATTTCTGGTAGTGTTGTAAATGTAAAAGAAATTTTTATGAATGAATTCAAAGTCTTAATGTGTAATGTAATATTGAGAATATGGGACAGGCCATATATTTTTAATTTGGCGATCACTCTGGAGTCTGAAGTGACGTGTAAATCACCCGTGGCTTTTAAGATCGCTTTGCTGTATTAAGAGGTGAAATTTGTTTTATCAGGTGCGTTAGGACATATTTTTTAAACATCTCCGAAGTCATTTAATAATTGGGTGATGTTTTACATAGTCCAGTAATTAAAATCATAGTTTTGATAATTTATAATGCATCACAGCCGGAAATGCTTTCATGTAAAAATCGCAGCTCAAATTAAGCGTATGTATTTATACAAATGGGATTAATTTAATAGTAATAGCGTTTCTTTAGAAAACAGCACAATGGTAATTTCTCGACATCTTGAACAACTGGGAGACAGAATAACTTGGTGACACAGTGAGCCACAGTCAAAGTGAGCCACAATATCTAGTTAGCAGAATTATTTCAAAAAAATATTGAAAAGCAACCCAGATCATAATCCAGATTGAGAAAACTTGTATGTATTGTTTGAATATTAAGCTTCAGTAAATTAGCTGTTATGGCAAGTGCAATTCCTTTCACAAGTCTCAAACTGAAGGATTTCCAAAAGAGATTGCAGGAGCAGTTACTCCTTGCAAATAATGTGGCTTTCGAAAGCAGTTTTTATTTCTGAAAATCTAATTTTCCGACACTACGTTTTGTCTGTTTACACTGAGAAAGCATACAAGTCCACTATCAATTTTACAACAAATTCGCGAAGAAACGCGTCACGGCATCACGATTGGTTTGACGTTCCCACGACAGTCGGGTCTACGTAACCGGAACGACCCAGATTTCTATCTGGCCAAGGACTGTCACTCCAGAAACACTCCCCAAAATCTCTTTGGGGAATTTGTATGTTATTACTACAACAACAGCGATTGGTGTGACATCTCTTGCCGCAAAAATGAAAATTTGCTAGTGCAGCACGAGCAAATTATTACTCGAAAGCGATTCGCGTAATTTCAGTTGCAGTTAATTAAACCTTGAATTACTCGTATACCCGCAAGTGATTTCTGCAAATCTGCAAAAAGGACTTGCTGTTTACACGGGACAGCAAAATGCGTAGAAAAAGCGCTTGCATTGCCACGTTTAACCGTACCTTAATTCATCATGTACATGAAATAGTTTCTTTGTTTATTAAGCTCTACCCAGAAATACAGGGGACGACGGTAAAGCGGTCGGCGGTAAGTGAACAGCTGAACACTTGCCGGAGTGAAATCCGTCAGAGTAAACACAATTGCGACACACGACGGCTTTCGTCAGTTGTCATTTTGATTTGAAAATTATCTTTATAATTAAATATTTTTTTAGCACGTGCGTGGTGTAGATTTTCTGGAAATAAAAATAGATGAAAACTTTGGCAAACTTCCGCTGGGCGGAAAAATAGAAATAAATTTAAATCAATCGAAATCGGCGGTAAAACGCTGCCACCGCAATCATGAACCATTCATTTGTGAGCTTTAATTTTGGTAGAGCTTTATAAAAAAATCAACAAACACTAAAATAGTTCGTAAATCTATCTCTCAGTGAAAGTGAGGTACCTAAACAAAATTAACTTTAATAACAAATTAATACTTTTTTGAGCCTCCTTTCACAGGCAAATGTTGATAGAAATTGCGCGCCACTCGGCTTGTAAGGCATCTAAAACGCCCTATTTCCACGAAATGCTATGTTTTCGTACATTCTGGTCAACACGAGCCAACAAGTTTTATATTATATTTAAATCTGGAGATTATGGTGGTACCATTCCGCGCAGCAAAGGATTTCTCCTGGTAAAAATAAAACTTTCCTTCGATCCTTAGTCTTTCAGCACTTGCCTCAACATTTTGTTTTAAAATGTCTATATAAAACTTTGTTGATAATGCCTGGAATATGTTTCAGATTTTCAATGCCACCACCTGCCATCCAGCCCCAAACCACGACTGTGCTTCATACTGTGAGTACGGTTTTGCTGCTGAAACTCGGAGTTCTTTTGCCTCCATACCATCTTATCGTCTGAGCCAAATAAGTTAAATTTACTTTCGTCGGTAAATGGACCCTAAAAAAATATTAATGCTTCAAAAGTATTCTACCGTTATATACCTTTTGTCAGAAATGCGTATCTTTATGGATATATTTGCGTAGACTCCTGCCGTTTTTACAGTTTTTATTGCTAATAAAGGCTTGTTTCTGGCCGTCCATCCATTTCTGAGAAGCCCTTTCACAGTTTCCGGCTTAACGTGGATATTTAATTGCTTTTCAACCACCTTTTTCAATTTTGGGGCACTTAGATGAGGATTTTTCATGATTTCCCGTACAATAAATGCCTCACCTCTTTCTTTTTTTGCTCCACTCTGCTTGATTGCTATTGTTCCTCCTCTAATAAAGCGACGTATGATGTGCTTGACAGTCCCTCGATTTAAATTCACATATTCTGCAATATCTCTTTGAGTTTTCCTTTTTGGTGACGTCCAATTACACTGTGTAACAATTTGAGGGTCATTGTCTGGGGGCGGAACGATTCCAACTCTGGATGAAAGACCCAGACCCATATAGTAAAATATCGTTTTACTTTCTTTGGTCATATTTCTTTGCTCTGGCCATTTTAAATTTGCAATATTTTGCCAAGAGTCTTTAGAATAAATGAAAAAAAGGGTTAAAATACATATCGGAGAGAAATATGCTGTTGCGGGACATATAGTAAAATTTTACGAGGAATAATTTTGTAAAACATTTTATCCCGTTATCTCCCTCAAAAAATGGTCGTTTTGACACTTTTTTTTAGAAAGTCCGAGTGGCATTTTCAAGGTCGCTAGAGGGTTAAAAAAACTTCTAGAAAATTATTTGCCATAAAATTTCACTAGGAGTCCTCTCACACAAAATCTTTGTACAAAGAATCTGTAAGTTCACAGAAAATAAAAATATGCACAATTTTTTTTTAGCTTTATTTAATATTTCGTTTATATATATAACTTGCTCTTTTCGGGCCTGAGTGTTCGGGAAGTGTAAAACCAGCATCGGAATCATCGCTGTTATCGGAGTCATGATGCCCACGTGTGTTTCCAATGCTGGTTCTACTGCGTCTGTTCCTCTATATCTGTATCGTTTTTTTAATTAGAATATGTTAAAATGTTTTTGTGTTACAAGTATTTACTACCGCATTTCAAACGGAAGAGCCACTTTATGGTAGCGCTCGCCGTGCTCATGTGAAAACCTGCTTGATAAAATGAGCCACATGATGATGTAAGTTGTGAATTTTAAAGGACATGTACTTTTTGGTACATATTTACCACAGCAGTAGCAAAAGCTGTTAATATCTGACTTCCATTTCACTTTTTCAATAAAATTATTGGGTCTGTTCAGGATCTTGTGCATATGCTCTTGCATTTGCATATTCGTTGCATTTGTAAAATCACAACAATAAAATGCACATGGTTGCCATGGCAGCAAGCATAAGATTTGCAAATGCAATTCCAACTGCAAATCCAAGACCATTTCCACAACATCCTGAACAGCCCTAATATGTTAATTTTTTTTTGCAATGGGCAATTCTCACAAACCAATTTTTTTTGTGAAACAATTTTTTCTCAAATCGTGAGCACGTGTCTGAAATTTTTAGTATATAGTAGAGGAGACCGTGGGAGATCGACCTTCACCGATCTGATAACTCGATGAGACATATTTTTTATCAAATATAATTTACAAACAAATATGTCTATGATAACTTGCCTATCGAAAAGTGTTCATAGCTATTTTTAATTTAATTAATTTTAATCAATTTTCTTTCATCGCCTTTACTCTTGTGATAACCGAATGAGTTTTATCTCAATTGATAGTTTTTAACACACAGAATATGCCCAGGTAGGCTTGCCTACTTATTTTTGTGCATAGCTACGTGGCAAGTACATAAAATATTATTGCCAAGCTATAAAGTTTTAAAATATTAGTTATTTGATGAATAATAATAATGAATATTTGAATTTAATTTTTTGTGTATTTTGTATATTTGTCGTAAACGCTTTTAACAACCTAAATGTATTAAATTTTATTTTTATATTTTGATGATTTTTTTTATTTATTATAATAAAATTTTAAAAGTAACACTTATTCTTTCCCGCTTTACGGCAATTATTTGACTTTAAATAATAAATAAATTATTTATTTATTTATTTATTACAGTCATTTGACCTATATACATTCACGTATATACATTTGAATTATGTATTGCAATATACAATAAAAGTAAAGTTAAATTTAATGCTTAAAATACGTTAACCTGTTACATTTTTCCTTCTAAGCTATATAATAGTATGTATATTTAACTAAGCATATTCTCGATGCTGTTGGAATGGACGGGATTCTAAGCAGTACCGTAAATATATCACGTACGACATGCGGTCTAAGAGTGTAATTTCCAGAGCCGGCACAACTGAGCGGTTGGAAAGGACTAGTTTCCAAGCCGCTTCTTATAAACTGCTCTACCAGCAGGCGATCTGAATGGACGAAATCCAGGGTCGCGCCATTTGATCGGACGGAAAGGACTAGTTTTCATGCCGACCTTCTTATTTCATACATTATGGGTGATCTGAATGGACTAAATCCAGAGTCATCCAGCCAGTACGGATGGAAAGGACTAGTTTCCATGCCGGACCTTTCTATCTGATATCCAATGTTCTACAGTGATCAAGTAGCAGCCTTTTGAAGGTACCAACGTTTTCGCAGTTTTTTTATTTGAGCTGGAAGCTTATAACATTTTAATCCCTTATAAAAGATATTCTTCTTATCTATTTCCGTTTTATACAGCGGCAGCCTGAAACTATTATTTCCCCTGAGTAAATACGAATGGGTTTCACTATTATATCGTAGGATATCACTCAGATAATCTGGGAGTCTACCTTGTTTTATGTTAAACACGAATTTCATAGCGTGATAGAAAATTTGCTGTTTCACGCTCAGCCAGTTTAATTCTGCGATCATTTCCTGTATGGGTGTGTCGTACCGCTTGTTCAAGATAAATCGCATAGCCCTATTTTGCATTTTTTGAAGCTTATCTATTTGTGTGTCGCTTGCTATAAAAAAGATANTTTATTTTGTGTTTCTAAGAGTAGACTGAACTTTGCAACGTTAAAAAAATGCGTATAATTTTCGTCACGAAATTGATATCATAAATTTTGTGTTTCTACACCTTTTCTAATAGTACTTCAGAAAGCGTCAAATATATTTCGGAAACCATCAAAAGTACTTTAGATTAGTCAAACGTACTTCAGAAACCGTTGATTGGACTTCAGATTAGTCAATTGCACTTCAGAAAACGTAAAATATACTTCAGACAAGTCAATTGTACTTCGGAAACCAAAAAATGTACTTCAGATTAGTCAATTGTATTTCAAAAACCATAAAATGTACTTCAGATTCTTAAAATGTACTTCAGAAACCGAGAAATGTACTTCAGAAACCAATTTTGTAAATGTTCAGGAGTTAAAGTAGTGCTCTACA